ACTCAGAAATGTGTTCATTTTTTTCCTGTAAGTCTTCAGTTACCTTAAAAATACAGGTGATAGGAAGGTACTGTGGAGCAAAAAATTCCCAACTGTACTCTGGACCACCAACTCCGTGTGGCTGGTAACAGTGGCTTCCAGGAATTGGGAGCTTGCTATGTGCCAGCAGCTATTCTAGGCTCTTTCTATACTTTGATCCTAATTTTGACAGTGGTCTTGAGTCCTTGTTGGAGGAATCCTAATTCTGTGATGAATAATAAACTGGTTTTGTAGATGTACGTAATGACAAATTAACACATTGTTTTTCCATGAATAATATTGATCATAAAAAAAGAAAGATCTGAATACAATTTACCAAATAAGATTTTTACACAGCAAACAAGCAGAAGAAAACATCCTGAACCTCATACATCATTTTGGAATTGCATTTTAAACGTGCTTATAAGAATGGACAAAAGTCAAAACCTGACAATATCAAGTGCTGAGAGAGAGAAGAATAGAAACTATCAGGTATTCCCAGAGGGATTCTGTGGAATACAATTTGTCTTGTCTTTGCAAAGCAAAAAATGTTGCCCATATAATCCAGCAATCACATTCCCGTGTGCTTAATTGAATGAAAAGCTATGTTAACATGATAACTGACATATAAAAGTAAATAGCTTCTTCATTCTTAATCACCATGAACAAAAAGCAACCAATACCCTTCAGTAAGTAGTAAAATGTTATCAATTAAAATGCTAACGTAAATACAATGGAGTATTATAGGTAATAAAAACCAAATGAGCTAACAAACAAGAAAAGACATAAATACCAGTTGCTATTTTTGACAGCTTGTCCAAAATTATACATCTTTTTTTTTTTTAATTCGAACTGTGTGGCCTTGTTGAAAATACAAATCAATAAACAACAAAAATATTAGTGGTTGCTAGGTATTGAGGGGGAATAGAAGAGGGTGAAGGGATATAGAATAAGGACTTTGTGGGTGCTCAGACTATTCTGCATGATGCCATAATGGTGGACATTCAAGTTTGCTTTTCTCAATCCTCATGAAGCTGTACAAGTAGTGAAGAATGCTTTACCAACTTTGGAACATCATATTGGTTTGGTGATTTAACAAATTCACCACAGTGATATAGGATGTGAATTAAAGGAGACATGGGGTCTGGGGACAGGCATGTGGGAACTCAGAAATAGGCTCAATTTTTTTCTGTAAGACTCAAACTATCTTAAAAAAATAAAGTGTATTAATTAGAAGAAGCACAACATGAGCAGGAGTTTTTCGACCTCAGCCTTACCCTATGGGGGGACCAGTTCTCACCCAGTGACACAGATGCCTATATACTGAGAATTCACACCCCACAACAGCCCTGTATTTTCTTCAACTTAGTTCTCTTTTTAATTCTGGTGGTATTTTTCTGCCAGAAGTTCAACAAATCTATTCTTACAAGCCTCACTTTTATTATAAAGATCAGTGGAAAAATACTTTAGGGAAGAAAACAGAATCTTAACTCCTTGGGAAGCTCACATTCCCTCCCATCCCTACAGCAAGTATTGCACTCTTTGTTGCCTAACTAGTTATTTCTTAATATATATATTAAAACATTGATTTAATGCTATTTTATTCCACTCATACTTGAGGAGATAGTGGTCTGAGATGGGATGAGATCCTTCTTTTTTCCACCGTGTTACTTATTAATTGAGAACACTTTACCTGCCATAGATTGGTGGGAATTCAGCAAGTGAGTTCACATGAAGAGGCAAAGGATGCACATAATAGGACAAATACAGTGAGGCTTATATGACCATTAAAGAGAGTTCTCAATGAGTGGAGCAGTAGACATATTGCAAGTCAAAGTTAAAAGGAAAGCCATTGTTTTTTGTTTGTTTGTTTATTTTTGTTTTTTGTTGTTGTTTGTTTTTCATTTTGCAATTCTTAAGGAGGAAAGGAGCAAATTCTGTTTCAAAGACATCCAAAGTTCTCATGCCACCTGCTCAGGGCTAAGCTAGAATCTACATTAGCTGGAGGAATTACCTCCCAGCTTGGGTGAAACCATGCAGGTTTCATGAGGACTCATATGTCCAACAATGATAACAGATCCACTCAACATCCAAGCATGACTCAGGAGAGAGGTGCTGGAGAGGACTAACATGGGAACAAGTTGAGGAACCTCAGTTATTGATTGAAGTTATAAATATCTCAATGAAGAAGAGACTATCTCATTCAGAAAGCTGTTTTGAAGCAATTCCAATAGCCACAGAATTGCTTCCATCTTGATTTTCTTTCCTCCTCCTTTTTCCTCTCCCACCCTCTTTACCTCTCATTATTCTTTCCTTTGCTGCACAAAATGTTCCTATTCATTCTACCTATTTTATTCTCTCAACAAAGGCAATTATTTGTTCTGTTACCAAGGTTGAACCCAGTTGTGCTTAACAACTGAGCAACATTCCCAGCTCTCTTTATGTTTTATTTTCAGACAGGATCTCTCTTGGTTGATTAGAAACTTTCCAAGTTGCTGAGGCTAGTTTTGAACTTGTGATCCTCCTGCTTTAGTTTCCAAAATCACTAGGATTACTGACTAAACCAAGGTGTTTAGAAATCAAATTTTACTGAGAGGTAAATGTATTGGTATTTAAGTGTCATTATTGTGACCTATTTTCAGCAGAAAGACCAGAGAAATATATCTTTGCACTTTATATTTATTTGTATATAACACTGTGGTTTTCATACTTCAGTCTTTTATGCCAGGCTCTACACATTTTGAAACATGGTAGTGGGCTAAGATCTGTTTCCTATGAAACATCCCCAAATCCAGGTTCACATGCTTTGAAAATACACACAAAAAAATTCATCCAGATGAGGCTTGTTTACAGTTGTCTGAGAATAAATGTACTATTCTTTTCCTTTGAGTATACCTTCTATAACAGATGCAAGATAGGTACTGTCAGACTTCAGATGCAGCACCATGATTACCAGTTACTGCGAGATGAGCTAGAGCTGTCTGTCCTATACAATTTCATCTTGGAAGCCTCAGCTCAAACTCCCAGATAAGAGGCGCTAGAGGAGGCTCCTAGGTAGGCCCTGGAGGAAGGAATTTTGAAGTCTTTTACTCCATCATATCCAAGATAGAGTTATTTATTTCTAATGTGCTACAGAGCTTTTAAAATCTAATAGAATAAGTATTTGCATGGAACATAAATGGTTTTTATTTTATTTTATTATCAGAATTTATAACATTACAAGTGTTATCTTACCTAAGTGATTTGAAAGTATAAAGACTCATGAGGAATAATAATTCAAACGTGTAATTTCTTCCTCTACATAAATTTGTAGTACCGAAAGTGTTTCACATTCTCACTTGGCAATTCATTATCTCAATAATGTGTGGTTCCCAAATACCTAAATCCAGACTTTGGTGGCAGAATGACTTAAGCTTGGGAAACAGGAACAGTTTCCCTGAAGGAGACTCAATGGCTGGGTGGCTATTCCTGAACACTCATGTGTCTTTCAGCACCTACTATGTTTTAAAAGGTGTCTGAGGTA